AGAAAGAGTGTTCAGAAGCTGAAACTCTTGGAGCCTCTTATTAGCTCACTTCTCCCAAATCAGAGCTTAGGCATTCTCCCAGATAAATACCAGCTGAGATCCTGGGCTTCCAGAAATCATAGTTAAAGTTATAAGTTTTGGGGTTAGGTTTGAGGCTTGGGTTTGAGTCCAGCTCTCCCATTTACTAATTGCAAATGAGTAACTTAACCTCACTCCGTCCAGCTGATTCCTCAAAGGGCTGCTATGAGGATCATGTGTGATAAAATATGCAGAGTGCTAGTTCTCAGTGGGGGTGTTTAGCTCCCTGCTCCCAGCCCCCCTGAAACATTTGGCAATATCTGGAGACAATTTGGGCTCTCACAATTAGCGTGGGGTGCTACCAGCATCTCATGGGGAGAGGCTAAGTGTTCAGTTGAACATCCTACAATCCATAGAACAGCCCCCATGGCAAAGAAATATTCAGTCCAAAACGTCAGTAGTCCCGAAGTGGGGAAACTCCATCTCTGGCCCAGTCCCTAGCACCCAGCAAGCAGTAGTGGAATGATAACATATTCCCCGGGAGAAGCAGGGCTTGAAAACCCCTGACTGTTCCTGGGAGGTTTGGAGAAAAGTTCTATTAATAGTAGCAAACTTGGTGGTGCAAGTAACTCACTCTGTTTCCATCTTCAATCTAGGCACCCTCTAGCTCTGTGAATGAGAATCTGCTAGTCTGGACCGATTTGGGGTATAATCTTGAGTTCCAGCTGGGAGAAGGACTGTAGGACACTTTGGAGTTTCTGGCAGCCAAGTTTCTCTGGCCCAAAAGTAGCCAAGCTAAGTGAGCCTTTGCATGGTATTTATAGTATATTTGGAGCAAAGTCCCACATGTATAAAAACTTCCTATTAATTGAATGTTCCAAGTTCACAGTTACCCTGCATCCTGTACCAGGGCTTCTGTTTTCAAAGAACTCATCTGTAATAAGAGACTGGAACCTTTCTTTATGGATTCAGAAAACCTACAGCTTCTGCAGAAACACCCCGGGGGCACATGGGATCCATGCTGTCCTTGTACAGGGTACAACATGAAAGGAAGCCCTGGACTTCTTGTTAGTCTGGCCTAGGGGTGATATGTACAGGGATCCATTAAAGACCACTTTTGGTCTATAGTCCCACCAGTGCCGTTGGTTTGTTAGGATTGCACTTCATACCTGTTGGAACCTCAGTCCATCTGTTCAACCTGGGCCTCAGCAGAGACCTTCTCCTCCATAGCTATGTGAGCAGAGATGAGCTAAGAACTAGGTGAGAGTGAGAACCAGGCCTGGCCGAGGAGTCAGGGCCAGGGGTGAGGTGGAAGATGGAGACTCATGATCCACAGAAGGGAACTCTTCATGGGTCACTTGGGCTTCAGGCAGTAGACTCTTAGGAAGGAGTGGGGAAAACCCAAGAGTGAACCCCATCACAATTTGTTTCAGGGACAGCTGGCAGGCTAGAAGGGAGCTACCTCAGTCTTGGGCGGGGAACATGGCCCATGAGCTGGTACAGGGACTGGGAAACAGCTACAGGTTCCCAGGCTGAGGTTCTTGCTTTGGCCCTGGAAAAGACCATGCTTCCATGGTGAAATCAGAGCATTCGCTTTGTCATTTCAGGTCCATATTTCCACCTGCTAAATGTCTGTCCCTCTGCAAGTGTCCCCCATCTGTCTCACTGTCCGCAGTAATTTGCATCAACATGAGAAGATATTTCTAGAGGAAATATTTCTAGTGAGCGTGGTTTGCAATAGGATGTGCATCACCAAAGAAAGCAGAAGGTTAGGGTTGCCTAAGGGAAGCCCCCTGCTCCCAATGCCAAGGCCAGTACACTGGAGCCTCCTGGATCCCCACTGGGCAGTGGGGGCACCATACCTCATCTAAGTCTCATATCAGCTGAGATGTGGAAGAGGGCATCGTTACACTGCTATCAAGAGGCAGAGGCAGGCTTTGAACCAGGCTGTTCAGACTCCAGAGCCCAGCTGAGCAAGATGAGCTGTCATGACCTTCCAGTCTCTCCAAAGTATGAGTCCACAGTCTTGCTACTTATTAGACCATCACTCTACTGGCCTGCACAGAGTGACCAGAGTTCCTAAGTATTGGGAAATGGCTTTTCTGGATGGACAATTGGAGCTACCTGGAGGTTACATCAAGGTTTGAGAAACATTGGGAGTGGCTGGCAACAGGTCACAGACCTCATGTTTTAACGAGTTCAACAGCATAAGGAGGAACCGGATGGGGGCCGAGGGTTAAGCATGACACTCTGCAAGGCAGACTCACATGGGAAGGTCCTTAGTTCAAGTCCAGAGACCTCCCTGAGTAGTCCAGACATATACTTGCCTATGATTTGGAGTTGGTTGAATGTTTGGAATGGATCAATGAAGGTGCAGGCTCTCTCTCACTAGGTATTTCTATTTCTATCTCATGGAGAAGATAAATAGATGAACTGTAAAGGTGGGGTGGGGATAGGCCTGTCCTATAATTTAGTGGTTAAGGGAATTAGATCCCACCTGGCCAACTGCAGTTCAAATCCAGGCCTCAGAGGCTTGCAAAATACACTGGGAGCTTGTGTGTAAGTGCCCAAAACCCAACAGGATGGAGAAATGGAAGAGAAGGAATTATGGTATGACTGGGATGACTACTGCCATTGGGAATACTTTCTCCCTATTTCTTTCTTGTCTCTCTCTGGCAAGCACATGCACCCTCTAACAACTTCAAAAAATAAAAACAAGGGGGTGGTAGGTGGTGTGGTGGTGAAGGTACTGGACTCTCACATAGGGTAGTTTGAGTCCCAGACCTGGCAGCTTGCTTGCTCTCTCTCTCTCTCTCTCTCTCTGGTTAAAGAAATAATAATAATAAATAAAATTTAGTGAATAAATAGAAACAAAATAAATAAATAAACCACCATACAGGCAAGCTCCAGTTCTGCCTAGAGAAGAAGGGAGGGGGCCATGGCCCAGAGAGGGTGTGAAACTATGGAAGAAAGAGAAGGAAACCTCCCACTGTATTTCTAAAGCCCAAAGGGGTAAGGGAAAACAGTGTCCCTCCTGCAATCTGCCCTCCAAAAAGCCGTTTAGTCAGCCTGCCCGCTGAAGAGCTGCTGCCCAGGAGAAGGGTGTCTGCTGTGTCAGGCGGGTCCTGGCGCAAAGCCCCCTCTCTCCTCAGGACTGCCCTCTACCAGCCCGGAACAAGAGCTGAAATATTCACATCACACCCTTCTCAAACCTAACAGGAAGTTGTCAGGATGGAGCTAGTGAAATATCCTCTTGGTAAATACTAGAATTCATAGCGCGCTGCCCTTTCTTAGTGCTGCTTTTAAATACAGACACACAGTTGAAGCAAATCTGATCCGTGAAATATCTGAATTTGTGAAGTTGACATGGCAAGACCTGACCCCCATACTTCAAAAGGCTCTTCCTGCCACTGAGTGACTACAGGCAAGTCCTTGGCCCTCTGGGGCTCTGCACAATGAAGTGAGGAGGCTGCCAAGGGCACCAATTCCCCTTCAGCTCCCACGCGGTGCTTCCTGGAAGCTGGACTCCAGGGTGAAGGAGTGAATGGCAGGAGAACGAGTGTGGAGGTGGTGTGAATGTGGGGTACAGATGTGTGTGTTGTGTATACTGTGTTGTGTATGGTGTATGTGTTGTATACGTTGTGTACTATTTATGATGTGTGAGGTGGTATGTGATGCATGATATGGATATTGTATGCGTGCATGTGTTGTGTATACTGTGTGTTATGTGTGCTGTGTGTGGTGTGTTCTATGCATGTGTGTGCTGCATACAGTTTGCTTTCTATGCGTGTGTGTACTGTATACAGTGTTGGTTGTATGTGTGGTATGTACATGTGTGTTGTATATGGTACTTGTGTGGTGGGGTGTGTGTGTGTTGTGTGCATGTGTGTGTTGTATAAGGTGTGCATGTATATGTGTTATGTACGACATGTTGTGTTGTACATGATGTATATGAGAGGGCTTGTGTGTATGTATGGAAGGGCCAGGCTTGGGAAGGGGGGTGAGCAGAGGAAGGCAGCGGGGAGCCAGTTAGCACTGGGCACACTTACTCTACAAGATGGCAGGCCAGGCAGGGCAGTGCAGGCTGCAGAGGAGGTGGAAGCCTGGCTGTTCCAGCTACCCCTGCATAGCAGGGCCTGCCTCGAGGAGATCCCCAGAAGCCCCAGGTCTCCCCAGAACGTGCAGGGCAGCATAGAGTGGGTCCAACACATGCGGTGAATGAGGACACTGAGGTGGAACAGCGACAGTCACCTCTGTGTTATCATTCCCCATGACCTGAGAGCATTCAGTACAGTCCCAAGAGAACCCAAAGGAGCCCCGATAGGGCCACCACTTGTCAAGAGCCTGCAGAGCAGAGTGGTTAGGGATGAGTCACCTGCTGCAGGTGACAGCACTGAGTCTGGAACCCCAACTTTTCACCTCAGCCAGGTCATCCTAGTAAAACGGGGTGTGGGAGGAAGTACTCTGTGAGCCTAAACTGTAAATAATGAAGATGTGCAACCCCATTGTGGAGACAAGTGGTGCCATTTTGTCCCCAGCCCTGTGAGGCTGCAATTCTCATGCAGCCACCAGCTGGCAGGAGCAGAGCCCAATTCAAACCCTGGACTGGGCTTGCAGACCATTACCAAGTGTGAAGAATTGCCTTTTTACTTACTGTTTGCAAGAATTCCAGTGACTGCTCTTTTACAAATGTGGAGGCGCAGGTCAGTAAACATCCCCTTTAGTGGAACCACCTGCCTGTTTACTGAGGGCTTCCTAAGTGATTTATATCCATTGTTTCATTTGGTCCTCACACCCCTAGGAGGCACTAATGTCCCCATTTCACAGATTTTAAGTGCCAAGCCGAGGGGACCCGGCTCAGCAGAGGTGGGCTGAAGCCTGAACCCAGGCCGGCCTAGAGTTTCCTTAGGCTTACATTCTGCTCACCACAAGCGCTCCTGATTGGGGGACTGAGTGTCCTACAGAAAGAGAAAAAAGAAACTGGTCTATTTCCATCACTCAGAGAAGGGTTAATGTTCTACTTCACAGGAAGATGGAGCCCCGTGGCTCTGAATTCGAGTTCTACAATAGAATACGGAACATATCTCAGAACTTCAGTGAAAGCTGCTGCACACCTGAGCACCCAGTGGTGATCACTGTCATTTACTGTTGGGTCAGGGATGGCCAATGGAATCAGCAAAGATCCCCACTCTGGTTTGCTGGGCACAGACCCCAGTCACCAGAGTGGGCAAAAAGAAGGAAGCCTCGCAAGGTCTGGAGGTGTCAAGAAAGGTGGCAGAACTTACTGACATTAGTTTTTGTGAGGCTGACAGTGATGGAAAAGAGCAGCAGGACATTCAGGGGGAGGGTCTGGCTTCCACCCAGGCTTGGCCAGCCTGGCTTACCCCACAAGAGGAGTCTGGAAGTCGGACAGCAGCTTGGTAGAAGGTAGGGAACCCAAGTGGCTTCTGAAGACCCAGGAGAATGGTGGGTAATAGAGAAGCCACTGGCTAGAGATGACCACTTGTTTTTCTGGCTTGCATAAAGTCTAATGATGATCCAAGAAATTCTCTGGGTGGGCCCAAGTCTGAAAGTCTAAGTTTAGAGAGGTGTCAGGGAGTGGGCTGGGGCAGGTATAATAATCCAACCCCCCCACCCCTGAGTTGGCCTTGATGGCAGCAAACACTGGACCAGGAGTGAGAGACTGTCCTTGCTCCCATCTATGTGGGCCTTCAGCTGGTGTCTCCCTCCTACCCCTGCAAAGGAGAGAGGTTGAACCAGATGACATGTTTCATTTCCTGTAATACAGTATGCTTCTGCCCCATGGGAATTTATCGTTTAGAACCTAATGTTGTCTCATGCATGGTATTGTTGAGAAAGATTCATATGAGTTAGTTTTCCCCATATCAAAAACTTACCCATTTAATCTCCATCACTGAGTACGGGCCATTCCTAAACGCTCATGCACCCACTTTCCTGGCTCCATAAGCAGAAACTAAATACAACGGCCCCTTTGGGGTTTCTTTATGGTCTTAATTATCTAATGGTGACTTACCATACAGGACACCCAAGTACCCATTCCTGTCAGTGATCCGTTTTGTGGTCCATAAGGCTGTCCTTTCCCCTCTAATTGCTTGTTCCCAATCTGTCAAAGACCTTGAGCCACGTTAGAACTCTGATTCTAGTAGTACCCTTTGTAAACCAATAAACTGTTCAAGAAATTCAATAAATGGCCACAGAGCTACATGAGAGTCATGACAACTACTTCAATGTTTGGTGTCTTTTCTTTTTCCTCTCCTTCTTTTTTCTACCTGTGCATTCTTAGATCTGTTTTTGCCTGCTCCTAAGTGGGGTGTTAAATTTTCCACTCACACCCACCTCTCCATACAAACACATTCCTCAGAGTTCTCTAGGTTTATTGCTCCCTGTTGGAAATGGAACCTTCTTTGATCTATCTTAAAACCACCTTCCAAAAGAGCTGCTTTTACTTGTCAATTAGGATCGATGAACAAGGCCATGCTCATCCTCACCCCGATCTGAAAAGCCTAAATCACCAGAGTGAAGACTAAGGTCAATTAATCCCCAGACCAAAGTGAGGGCAGCTTCATTTAGTGCCTACCCTGTGTGCTTCCGTTGCCCTCGATCAGGGCCCAGGCAGACCCTGGAAACAGTCAGGGTGTCTTTCTGCCTGATCTCCCTCCGCTCAACCTGAAGGTGCTCATGTGCATTTTAGGAGCAAATTGTTCCGGAGGATTGTGCAACTTCTTTGCACAGAAGAATCCCAGGACCAAACGCCTCTGAGTTTAAAAAGTTAAACAGGTTTCTCTCCTGTTGCACTTTTCCAAGCCTTTCACATGCTGTGTGAGTGGTGAATCCTCACTACAGAGATGTTACACACAGCAGTTCTCAAACCTACCTAGCCAGGGAACCCAAGCACCCTTCGAAAATGCCATCTCCCTGTGTAGCTACATCCTTTCTCCTCCAGGTCTAATTCTAAATAACCATTGACCTTAAGCAAGCCACTTTCTATCTCTCAACTTCACATTCTTCATGTGTCAAACGAGGAAGTAGAATGGCAAAGAGGTTTGGATGAACTCATGTGCCAACTTGAATCTTGGAAAGTCCCAGCCTGTGGGGCTGTGAGGAGAAGAGTCCTGATGCTGCCTCTCGGCCTGAGAGAAAAGCTGCCGTGGTCAATTAGGCATGTCTACCCTGGTCCCAAGAGCTGGGTTGGCAGCCTACATGCCCCACACCGCCTACTCTGTAACTAGAGAACCCCTAAGGTCACCTTCTGCTCAAACTTCTGTTTTGGGAGTACACGGATTCCTGACCTGACCTTGAGATCTCAGAAGCCTTTGCTGATGGAGAATGGAAACCTCTCGCCTCTCAGCATTAGGCTCTGCAGCCGAAGCTGGGTAGGGTCTCTGACCTGTTCCCATTTGTGGGCTTTTGCAGCCCCTTAGTCATTCTCCCTGGTTGGCTCTAGACCTTCACTCTGGGGATGTTGTCCTTGCTTCCACCTTTCAGACACACTCAGCGGGCACTGGAAAGCACAGGAAGTTCCTTGTGTGGCACAACCTCAAGGGGAACCTGGCACCCCTATGACTGCTGCAGGTCCCGTCCTCTTTCCTTGTCTCCACAGCTAAGTACTGTTTGTGTGCCTGCACCTCTCCCCCAACTCGCACCCCTGGATTCCACTGTCTTGGGAAGAAGCTGCTTTCCTTCCTTCTGTGTGGTCCCTGGAGCACTGCATGGAAATTACCAAGAGGGAACTTGTTTTAATGTGGACTCCACCCCAAAACCCTCTTGCTGAATGGGGCCCTCTAGAGGTGGGGCCTGGATATCTGATTGTTTTCACACATGCCTCAGTGGGACACTGAAGTTTGAAAACCATAAATCATCAAGAAAATTGTTGGCTGAGCTGGTCAGACCAGGGCTCTGGGCTGACAAGGCAGGTCTGGATCTCACAGCTGGGAGACCACCAAAAATTGCTGTTTCCTTGACTCACACTTCCAGGTCACTACTCAGCCTGTCTGCTGCCCATTTGGGTTGTTGTGAGTAAAGAATAAGATGAGACATGTTTGTCAAGTTCAGAACCAGCCCCCAGAATGCCCAGAGGTCAGTGTCCATCCTCCCCTTTGCTAGTATGTAGCTGCTCCTCACCACCTAAATCCTGCCCACCATTCTAGAAATTGGAGAGCAGAGGGCTTCCCAAATGACCTAACTCCAGTCTTCGGTGGACAGAAGGGAGAGGGAAGTGATGGGAAAAGAAAATGAAATGTTCCTCTGCAAGTTTAGTGTCCAGGCCCCCACCCTACATCCCAGCTCTTCCTTCTTGTAGAGGCAGCACCATTTTCCAAAATGAGAATCTCCACTGGACTGATGTGGAAAGGGCAGGGAAAAGGCCATTTCTGTTCACTGCTTTACTACTATCACATGGTTGACATGAAATGGGCGCTTACTTATGTGTTAGATGGATGGATGGATATGGGGTTAAGACATAACTTACAACGAGACCTAAATTCTAGTTCTGGCCCCAGTACTTACAGTCCTTAGAAGAAAATAGACATTAAGCCCTCTGAGCCCCTGCTTCCCATAAGACAATGATGGCTATCCCTGCCTCAACTCTATCTTGGAGGGAGTTTGTGTCTCAAAGGGAATGACTATGTATGTGATGGCATTTGGTAAACCATCAGCTCATACCAATGTCAGAAGTGACGGTGACGAGGACAATGCTGATGTTAATGCAAAGGTGTCAGGGAGTCTACAAATGCTTGGGCTTGGAGGAGGCAGCCTTTCATCCAGCCTACCTTGCCAGTGTGAGCCATGAGGCAGCCAGGAGAAGAGAATAAACCTGGCACAGGGAGTCGCCAACAGTATTCTCTCTCACCCATGAAAATTCCTCCTGAATTGATGGGCCATGACATTTGCTGCCAAGGCCTCATGAAGCTGTGGGTGGACCCTAATGCCTCCTTTTTGGCAAAACAACTGAGAAAGAGGCCCAGATGGCCTGGAAACAGTTCCCTCCTCCAAACAAGGAGTTCATGGAGCCAGAGCGTCAGGGCTGGCAGACATCGCCATGAGGTCATCTAGCCCCATCCTCTCATTGTGCGGAGATGATATTACAGTCTTCTTGGCACTTATTAATAAAAGCACCTCCTCCAGTCCCAGACACATCACCAGGCTCAGCTGAAACACTTATCACTTACAGAGGGAAAAAAAACCTCTTTTCCAGGAGGAAGGCAAACACTGATTTATTAATTAATGACCTCGGGGGTCTTGCCCAAACTGCAGGTGCAGAGGAGGAGGCTGGGGGAGGGCAGAGTAGCTCTGGAAGGAGGTGATGGATGCTCGGCTCACACTCCAGAGGGTGAGAGCTGACACTTGCAGATCAGGGACTGCAGGGCTTGTGGTGAGACTTTTTTCTCTGTGTATTTTGAAACAAGACTTGTTTCTGCTTCCACCCGTCAACAGAGAGGAGCAGAATCTGGGTGTTTGGGAGGCTGTAGAGGCTGTTTTCTGTCGGCTGAAGTCAGCAGAGCCACCATGGAACTCGCAGTCCAGTATCATTGCCTTTGGGTCTCACCTTTCTCTTCAGAACCCTTCACTGGACACACACATGTGCACACACACAGGGTCTTTCTAGTGCCCAGAGCCCTCTAGACAAGATACTCTGTTATTCAGTATCTAAACCCACCTGTGAGGATGAGCCACCACTTTCATCTCTCAGGGGATCTTACAGAGTAAGTGTCATTTCTGTGCAGTTTGATTCGCTCCTAGGAAGCAACCATAATTGGTGGGGCAGAATGGGCCTCCCTTGGCCCCTGACATCACACTGCCAAGCCAACCATAGTCTCCAACCCAAGAGATAAGAACCAACACCACACAGTGAATGGGATCTCTACAAGTGCATGCTGGGGTTAGTTGGCCATCTCCCACTGGGACTCCAAAGGCTTACCAACCAAGAGGTTGAAGAAGCCTTGGAGGTCACTCTGGAACTCTCTCAGAGGCGGGG